CTCTCTGTGGTCCCTCAAATGCGCTCCAGAATTTCCAGAAACACACATCGGTCGACCGCACATTGCAGCAGGACCGCCTTGCGCAGCGACAGTCACCGTCACAGGCGTGTATGCCTTCTACAACGTCCCTTCGAAGGCTGACAAGAAACAGGGCTTCAGATCGTCCCCCGGACCTAATGCAGGCCTTCTCGACGCCGAGTTCGAGGCTTTCCAGACAGGCTTTCCAGGTCCTCCGCAGCCCGACTTCCACCAGTTTGCCCCACAGTTTTCACATCCTCCTCCCCGTGCACAGTTTGCGCAAGCTCCGCAAGCGCCTGATTGGGCTTCCGACTTTCAGCAGCTGAATATTTCGCCTTTGCAAGCCCCGCCAATACAAAGACATCATCCCGCGCAAGCCTCAAATGCGTCATGGCACCAGGACTTTGCGAGGCACCAGGCGCCGGCGGTGCAGTCACCGGCACAGACACAGAGTCCCTTTGGAGGCATGTCCAGGTACGGCATGGGAGGACCTATGTCGAGTTACCAGGGCGGCCAGACTTTTGGATATATGAATGGGACACCGGTCTCGGCGGTGGCGCAAGGCAAACAACGGTCTCAAGAGGGAGTCCCCCAGTTTGACGAGGCTGCTTTTGAACGGGCGTTTGCGCAGGCGCAGGACGACATGCTCGAGGAATTGTCTGTGCCGGATCAGGGGGCTTCGAATGAGGTGCTGGAAAGAATTATGCGGGCGGAGCAGCAGGAAGAAACAGACCCTGTCTTGATTCGTCTGCGGGAGAAGCGATTACGTTAGTGGCCAGACTGTGATGTATTTCCAAATCTAACGAGCTGTATAGCTGTATATCATGTGCTCAAGCTCAGGAGCGAACTTGATACGGGCCACCACGAAACCGCCGCTGTCTATCTCCAACACCTGGACGCTCTGGAGAAAGATGGAACGCTGGTCAAGGACGCGAGCGAGGCGAAGTGGTGCATTGATGCGCTTCAAAAGATAGCAGATCGGGAAGACTCGGGGGTTGCAGGAGGCCAAGCCGAAAAACTCATCAAAGCAATAAACCAGCGCCTCATGTCAACGTATCCTCTTCTCGCGACCCCGGTCCCCATCAACCAGGACATGATCTGGGAAGACATAGTAAACGCCGGATACACAACCGACTCGCTGCGTCCCGAGCAAGTCGCGCAACCACAACCACAAGAACAGCAGAAAGAAGAGCAGCCTTTCCACAACGACGAGGACGATATGGCAGCAACAGCAGGACAGCTACTGGAGCGCGTGGCAGGCAACACAAGCGAGAAGTTCCAAAACAGCCAATTCCTCGGACTCATGCGTCGTCTACGCGACCGCGAAGTGCGAGTCGAGGGCGACAAGATGGTCGAAGTCAGTGCCCAGTCTTCCTCTTCCCCTCTGCCCGCCACCTCCACCGTCGGAGCAGCGACACCCATCCCCGAAATCGACCTTCATATTCTGGATCACGCGGCTACGGATTTCGACATGCCGATGGATTCGGAGACGGAGTTTCCGTATGAGGGCCTCGATTTGAGACGTGTGCCTTCGAATGATCCGCTGACTGATGAGGTCTCAGAACAGTTTAGAAACTATAATGTTAATGGGGCGTATCATCGGTGAGGGGGAGGGGGGCAGGGAGAGTGATTGGGATGGAGATTTTGATTTGGGGAGACATGGCATGCCGGGACAGGGTGGGGGTGGGTATAAGAGGGAGGAAGACCCGCTGGAGGCGGACGAGTATCTCCGTTTCTGATACGGTTGTGTTTGGGGCTGCTTGTCTGTCGATGCAGCGTGCCGTGTGGAGGGCATGGCTCGGCTCCATACCACGTCCGCCGTTTGGAAGGTGTCTCCTGGATGGAAGGCCATGGTCACATCCTTGGTTTTGGTATTGGATACGCTGAGCTGAAGGCCTTACCGGCTTCAGACGAACTTCTGCCCGCTCCCGGCTTATGGCTTTTGAAGAGTCACTTCACCTTATTACGTCCTTGGAAAGCCGTGGATAGAATGAATCGGGAGGTTTTGATGGATGTGTCGAAGCATGTGGTATGGTACTAGTAACTATCGGCCCGGTGGACTTGCACATATGCGAGATGAAAATGGGAGCGCGGTATCCCTGACGAAGCAAGGGGAATGGTGAGCGAAAGTTTAATAGCGTCCATATTGTTAGGGGTTCGGGGATGGAGAGTTTGGATGCGAGATTTTGATTGCCTGGTGTAAGAGTGGGTTGCTATATATAGGAGTGGAGAAGCAGCATGGACCAAGTCGAAGAGTGCTCAATGGTATTGTACATGTATGGATGGGGGTTGGGGAGCAGAGTTGAATGAAATGCTTCACTGGCTATTGGGTCTTGCCTCTTCTTCTTGTTGCCGGTTGCTCTGCTATAATATCCCCTCCACACGCTACATACTATATGCATATACATACACCTGAGGCCCGCTCATTAGTACCAAATACACACACATCTCCCCCTCCAAACATCCATCCACCTCCTCACCCACACTCAACCCCACCCTCAACCAACCACTCCCCCCCAGCCCAAGAATCCTCCCAACATCAACATCTAGCACACACATTAGCCTCCTCCCCAACCCCAACCCGTCCCCAACCCACCTCAACACTCCCCTTCAAAACTCGCCAGAATCGCCTTCCCCTTCAACAAACCCTGCCACAGCATACCCAAAGCGTCAAAACAAGACATTCCCTAGGTATTGACGAGGACGCGGGCAAATGGATGGACGGTTTTAGTGTTGGTGGTTATAAGGGAGGGGATGTAGAAGTCTTTCTCGTTTTCGGTAGAAGGGGAGGTGGTGAGGTGGTGGGTGGGAGGGCGTGGAAGGGCGTGGAAGGGCGTGGAAGGGGCGGGGTTGGGATGGGGAGAGGGGAAGGGAAGGGAGATGGGAGGGGAAGGGAAGGGAGGGGAAGGGAACGGTCCATGGCTAAGTAGTGCGCGGATTGGATTGGATTGGATTGGAGGTATGAGTGTTTTGGGAAGGGGGTAGGGAGAAGGGCTTATGTATGGGCAGTATGGCAAACGGGAGAGCAGTCGCTTTGATAGGAGGATATTTGCTTGGGATTTTATTCGCAGCAGCGTGGCCGCCACGAGAGGTCTTTAGACGTGGTTATCGGGATTTACTGCAGGGCATTTGCGGGGTGGTTTGGGTTGTGGCTCTCTACGTATGTGAGTGAAAGATTGGCTTGCGGAAACGTTTGAACTACTTCAAAGCTCGACACGGATCCTTATTTTCATTTTGGAAAGAACCGCTCTCGGAGCATAGAATATAGGAACCAAGTAGATCATCACTGTGTGTTTAAACTGATGTGCTTTTTTATTATGTTTTATATACACCTTCCGAAGACACTGTATAGCCCAATAGCGTCAAGTATACTGGAATGCCTGTTGCTGCTCTTGCTTTCATTGGCGGAGACGTGTGAATGTGAACTCAAGTATCTCCATTGAATATTCCGCATGATGATACGCATCTCCAAAGGCTTCAGTGAGACATGGAAACGAAAAGAGAAATATGGTGCATATTGATCCATCCTGCTTTCATACTCCTCCTTCACCTGTAATCTAGACCACTGGTTACAGACCGTTACCCAATCACCGCGAATCTGTGTTTATTCCTTTTGAACGGCCCAGGCCCCCACCTCGCCCAGCTCTCGAAAGTCTATACAAACTCCACGCCACCCTACTTACTCCCCACCTTCCGATTTTCACTAACCTACGGAACAAAACTCTGCAACAACTTCACCATGCCTCTCTCCAACGAAGATGCTGCCTACATCTTACAGATGAAGGAGCTCATCATCTGTACAGCTCACAGCCTTGGACAATAATTAGTCTGCTAACAGCACTCATAGCTCAACTCAAAGCCCTCCATGGCCCAAACAGGCGTACCCGCACCACCAACAACGAGACACTCATCGATGTCGTCATCTACCGAGGACGTGAGGAATGTCATGCAAAGGCAATTCTCTATACACGGGCCAATCTTTCAGCATGGGAGACTCTCGCGACTGCAATTGTCCACGGTGGACCTCGAGATGCAATGGACAAGCTGTGGGAAATGCTGATGGACTCACTTTCAATGCATATTAGAAGTAAGTACACGAGTTGCATTTGAAGACTCTAGCATCTTTCCTAACATGGGCATCAGTGACCGAGGACGGGGAGGTCTACGAGGGCACGCCGTTCTTTCGACCGGGGCAGTTCTAGAGCTCCTGTCATGGCAGATGTATGGCTTTCACTCTTCCCGGTAGAATGAAGTCATAATCTACACGCTGAACATGGGGGTTGTTCCAAGAGGGTGGTAGATTAGAACAACAAGAGGCAGCAACTCAGAACACAATACCACTATGAAAAAGCAGCCCCTTTTCAGAGTGGTAGACACTCTCCTCGCCATGTAAGCATGTGGATCCTTTTTATGTGAAGTGTGTCGTTTTTCGCTTGATCTTGCCACACTTCTCCCTCCCTAAACAATTGTGTAATGGTTGGGAAGTCCCACTAACAACCCATGACCAAACTTCAAGGTCTGATCATCAGTGAGGCATAACCTGATTTCCAGTCCGGGGAGCACAATAGTATTACTTGGCCTCTTTACAGACCAAGCCTATACTCAAAACACCAGCAGTAGCTACCCCAGACACGACCTGATGTGATTTCGGAACACCACAGCAATCCATATATACAAAACCGAGGAGGAGAACTCTGCTAGGAGGAAAGAATAAGTAGGGATGAATCGGAATGGGATGTGTGGCCCTGACCCTTACTCAAAACCCCCCATGCCCCCAAAAAGACACCCACAATGGTATCCGCCCTCACCCCCCTCCCCCCCTCCCTCCCCTCCAAAAAGAAGTCCATTCCCCAGACCCCGGCGTTCCTTCCCTCTCCAACCCAGCCATCTCATCCCCCCAGCGCACGTGACCCCGCACTCTCCACCCCCAACAGTCCACCCCCCAACCCACTCGACCAAAAAAGCAAAAGAACAAAAAAGCATGGTCAATGAGGGGGTCGAACCCTCGGCCTTGGCGTTATTAGCACCACGCTCTAACCAACTGAGCTAATCGACCTTTGTTGCTCGATAGAAAATTCTGGTCGTGTATTTGTTCTATAGCGGTTTGAACACCTGTGGATAAGCGGAAGGGGGGAAGATGTTGAGAGGGGTTTTATCGAGAGGAGGTCGGGGGGTTGTGGTGTAGTGGGGGGAGTTGGATGATGTGGGGTACGCGATGAGTCGGGTCGGCTAATGCTGTGTGCGGTGGAGTGGCGGAGTCAGACATCTTGATGGGCAGTACATACATACATGCATACAACATCAATCGAGCAACGTGCAGAATCCTGGATATGGACTTAATCCAGCACTGACACGAGTACCAGAAGACACTTTCTTGCATTCCATTCGCTTCAGATACCCAAATATACACCAAACGCCCATACCTGCGCCTTCCTGGAAACGACGATCGTGATGCCGATGCTATGCTTCGTATACAATGCAAGTACACTCGAACGGACAGACGGACAGACAGACAGACACTTAGGGGATATGCAACGGATGGGTCGAGATGCAACGTCCACACATGCACCAATTCACACACGCACCTCTGCACCTTCCGTTCCTCATTGCTCCGCTTCAAGCCAGCAAACAAACCAGGACCGGCCCAGAAAACAGTCTACAGTGTGTCGTCAAATGAAGCCGAAGCGCAAGAGTAAGCTCAAGCCTTCAGCCTCCTCTCCTCACACCGAACACAGACCGGATCCTGGGACTCGCCCCGCAAGAAATATCGCCCATCTGTAAACGGGCCCTCGCACTCCTATACCAAACGTTAGCCATCAATCAATCTCAATCGCTCTACAAACACCCAAAGTCACACATCAAGAGAGGGGAAACATACCGCACAAACAAAGCACCCCGCATGCCACTCCTGCCCCAGCGCCTTGACAACCGTATCCGTAACTGGGCGTCGACACTTCTTGCACTTGGTCGAGAACCGATTCGTATGGCACCCAACACACCATGCATAACCCTCCTTCTCGACAAACGGCGTGCTGCTATCAAACGGGTCGCCACACTGCGCGCAGAAGAAATGGCCTACATGCCACTCCGCGCCACACGCGACAATGACCTCGCCTTCAATGGGCGTCTTGCAGCTCTTACAGCGCGGAGAGTACAGTTCGTGGAAGTCGAGGTGGCAGAAGAAGCGCATTGTTTCGTCGCCGTCTTCTTCTTCTAAACGCATCATGTCAGAGGGTGTCGGGTGTGTGGGGAGGTATTCGATATCGTCACCCCGGATGCGGGCTTGGATACGGGCGACGCGCTCCGCGTACTTGTTTTCGGGTTCGGGGTAGAAGGCTACGCATTCGAGATGTTCGCCGCAGTGGTGGCAGGCGAAGCATTCGGGATGGAAACGGGATCCTGCGGCGGATACGATGCGGCCAGCGATGGGGAGAGCGCAGTGTGTGCAGAGAGCTCCGGTACGAACAGCTGCAGCAGGTGTCCAGTGGGAGCGCGTGTTTGTTGTTGGTCTGTTTTGAGGAATGGATCTCGACGAGTGATTCTTGGGATTGGGGAGTGGACGTGTTGACGCTGGGGGCCCATTCACATTGATGGAAGGTACTGATGGTCCGTTTACATTGATAGAAGGCACTGCCGGTCCATTCACGCTGATCGAGGGCACAACCGGTGTAACAGAAATAGACGGAGCCTTGACCTTCGGCGCCGATCTCGACAAAGGCTCGTTGATAGAGATGGTTGGAACAGGCGTGACCGAAACCGAAGGCGCCTTCACACCTGAACCTCGACCTGCTGGACTGACTGAGATTGACGGTGTCTCCTGGATAGAGATCGTGGGAACTGGAGGCACTGTAGTTGGCTTAGAGCGCGCTGGAGGGGTCTGAGATATGTTTATTGTTGGTAAGGGGGGCGTGGCGGAGTGAGGAGGGTTGACTTTCCTTGAGGCGCTGGCGTCGGGGAGAGCCCGAGCCGGTGGATCCTCGTAGATGTTAATGGCAGGGACATTAGCCCGACTGACTCTCGTTGAGGGTGCGGCATTGGAGGGAGTCGGTCTTGAAAACAGGCTCCTCCTTGAAGATACAGAAGTATTGTTGAGAGTTGGCATGACAGGGGCTGTCGATGCTTTCGACAATGGGCGTGGAGCTGGTTCTGCCTGTGCAACTGGCTTGGGCGCTGGTTCCGGCACAGTCGATATCTCTTCCTTGAGCTCAACCTCCTTAGGCTTCAAATTTTCTGTAAAGGAAACAATGGGGCGTCCAGGAGCGTCCGAGACGATAGTAGGCGTCGGCAACTTTGGACTTCTGTCCCTCATCCGCATGCTGGTGGCTGCACGGATATCATCGCCTCGAATCTCCTTTCCGTCCTTCATCTGGACTTCGGGCTCATTCTCAGTCCCCGGTTTGAGCCCCTCTTTCGCCGATGCCACGGGCTGATTAGATGTGTAGGCTGCATTGCGAGTCTGAGAGGGCGGATTGCGCTGAATCTCAAATCGATCGAACCTCTTCGAGCCAACAATCGGATCGGTGCTCGATCGTACGAGGCTATGGTCCCTCGCAAACTGCACTCTGCTGAACGGATTGCGTCGTACTTGCAGGGGCAGTTTGGCTGGGGGCGGCGCCTCTGCCACTACTGGTGCAGATGCAGGTGTAGGTGCAGCAGCTTGCACGTCTTCCTCTGGTTCTTCGTAGATTTGGTCATCAGGGTTCCTGAACAGACTCCCGCTAACTTTCCTCCTGCCACCGCTGCTGCGTCTACGGTGGTTTGGATCCGATGGAGTCGATGACACCTTGGGAAGCTTGACCGGAGCATCAGAGATCTTCCCAAAGGTCTCCTTCGTGGGCGATGGCCCAAAATCCGCATTCGCTGTGACAGAAGACCCGCTCGGAGCTCGACGGCTCTGCAGGCTGCTGCTTCTGCTGCCCGCAGAGCTCCCCATGGAGTTGCGCTTCTTCGACCTCGACATCGAGCGCTGGAGATCTTGCTCGCCCCTCCCTAGACTCCGGCTCCGCTGATGTCCGCTCTTCTCATCCGCTCCAGGATAGGCATAGGGCGCGTTTGGGTTCGCACCAGGGGCGTCTGGATTACGGTGTTTCCAGACCAGCTCTGCGGCTTCGTCCCGAGCTGCATTGTATAGCGAATGCTCCTGGTTGAAGTCAAGCTCGTCCATGGCTATCCTCAGGGCCCGCGCTTCCTCCCGCTCGACCTGACGCTGGCCGTCCTCTCGATACTGTATGCTGGGTGTCCGGTCCCGGGCCGACATTGACGATGACATATTGCGTCCCCTCGGCGGCTGGACCAGAGGCCTGCCGACAAGCACTTCGTCAATGCTCATGTTCGATGTCGTCCGCTGATGCGAATGGCGGCGGGTCTCGGTAGCAGCTGGAAGGCCGACAGTGACGTTGGCTTCTCGGGGGGCCTCTGGCGGGAAGGGAGAGATTGAACGAGCGTCGGCAGTTCCGGTGTTGGTCCTGCTCGACCATGTGTTGAAATGGGTGGGAGGAGGACGCGAGCCATTGGGACGGGCTGGACGGTTGGTGCGTAGATCTTGCAGGAACGATGCTGTGGAATTCTCGTTAGTCGCGGCCGGCGGAATGCTGGAATGGGACCTACCCATCTGCGCCGACGACATGTACGTCGGGCCTGGTGACGCAGCACCAGGTCGTTCTTTCGGCTTGTGCATGAGGAATGTCAATGTTTACGGTCGCTGTTTACGGGCCAAAAGCAATGGTGGCTGCCGGGACACAGAGTGAGTGGCGGCAATGTTAGTTACGCAACAACAGGTCAATTTATGTACTCTAAGGGCAGATGTCAGATGAGAAATCAATGCTGTCGTCTTGAAGTTGCGGTGTTGTCGTGGTGCTGCTTAACGTAGCCGCATAACATTGGTTGCCCCAGCGCCCAATGCGGCTCGAGCAGGCCTGGCCCCTGCAGCCCTGTTTCGGCCATTCTCACTCCGCGAGACATGAAACATTCGTGACCTAGTCCTACAAAGTGTATGCTGGTATCAGACTACTTCATCTAGCGTATATAACTCAGTTCACAGCATATCTTTTGGAACACAACTCGTCATATGGAGACTGCAAGTCTCAGAATTGCAGCATACACTACTATACAAGAGCGGTGTGACAACTGGTCGCCAGCATATCGGTGTCTTTGCTCAATATGCCCAGTCTAAGCCAGACGCCCAATAAGCGACCTTGAATCCGTGCGACGCGATAACATCTAATTGTAAAAACTGTCAAATGGTACAAAAAACTGACCAAGAGCGACAGTGGGTATCCTTTTCCGCAATCCTGTATCATCATGTTCGTCGTGACCGATCTAGTCCGAATATCTGGCCTGAGTCGTGAGGAGGGCCAAGTGAGTCCCACCCAAGATTGATGCTTTCGAGCATCTGATTCCATCCTCCTTCGGACATGGGAGTCATGCCTTGGGGCGCTGCCATGCCCGACATGTCCCATTCCGCCCCTGGCATCATAAATGTGTTGGACATCGAGTCGGCATTTAGCGCTCCTGTTGGTGGGCTGTAGATGCCCGGGAACATGTCTATACTGGCAGGGTAATACGTGGGGTCGGCAGTTGCAGTACTGCTCTGAGGCACCGCAACATGGCCGGCCAAGTTCTTTGGTGAGTTCCGATATGGTGGTATGTACTGCGCATCATCTTGCTGTTGTCCGGGCGACAACGAAGTGTGTGATGTCGAGCCGCCTCTCGAATTTGAGGATATTGTTGCAGGGCTTGGATGGTCACCAGTTCCATCAGGGGAGATGTCCATCTCGTTGCTATCAAAGCCGTTGACCCGTAATCCCATACTGTTTGGAGTGTATCTCCCTTGATCGGAGGAGCGATCTCGTGACGGAAGGTCCATTTGGCTGCCATTTTGTGATGGGACAAATCCGTTTGTCGGCTGCGTCTCGACGTTGATGCTGGAGATGCTCGAAACATGGAAAGGCGCGCCAGGATTATTGCTCGTGTACTGGGTATTCACGTTTGGTGCAGTAGGAGTACCGTTGCTGAAATGGTTCATCGGGGCCGTTGCTGACTGTGACTCGCGGATTT